ATAATATTAAAGGGTACCAATCTCTTATCCGCAACTCCTCCTATACCACTGAATAAAATTTAATGATACTTTCATAGATTTTCTATTACACAATGTCATTGTGACGTCCTATTTTACTACTTGATCTGACACTTATTTCTCCTTATTTATATGGTAGAATCCCTTTTTCGCCTGCAAATGCTGTTCATGTCCTCAAACTTATTCAATAGAGAGTGTGAGCTATTTGTAAACCGAAGCCGGCTTTTGACTAATAAGTTGATGTCAACAGGAGATTGTTATTCCTCCTTGACACCTAATCGCCTCGATTTTCAAAGGGTCCATGTTTATACCCTCTTCACAGATTTGTATTGTTAAAGAACTTTTTTTAACTAAGTCTTTTAAGAAAAGTTTTTTCTTGACATATTAAACATACACCAAGGCCATGTTCTCAATAATAAGTTTTTAAGGGAAAAAAAGGGAGAGATTCTATAATGTAGTTTCAAGGTTATAAAATTAATTCAATTCAAAGATATTGAAAATTTTTCATATGAAAGTTATTATTTAAATGTCAGACTTAAAATAATTACAATGTATAAAATAAAAATTCGCCTCCCAAGAAGGACCTCCAGAAGAAAAAGGTTAATTAGAACGTCATTCAAATTGCCTTACCTGTAAAATAAATTATTCTTTATAAGATTTCTAATGAAACGCTTTCATATTGAAATTAAATTGAAAATAGACTAGAAAAATGATAAATAAAATGTCATGAAAATCAAAACACTTATTTTATCCTTCTTTACTGTCTTCGATTTTTTTAAATTTTTAAATTTGCAACTTCCAGATGAATTTCATTTTAAAATATCATTTTAAATCATATCTACTTTTTGATAACCCCTCGTATATGTATTTAGAATAAAATGTATCCTTTAAAACTCCATTTGTATTCAATATTCACGATTATTTTTTTTTTTCATTTGTATTTTATTTTTTACCACAAAGCTGATTAGAACTATACTTTCTTCTCCATTGAGTGTACTAAGTCTTGTTACCATGTAATAATTTTAGCCAATCTCCGTATTTTTTATTCAATTTATAAGCCAGTTGTGTTTGTGAATTACTGATAATCCCGTATTGTAGCTCATGGTGAAAGTTCAATTTCTCAAATGTGTCCAACGTCAAGTGATAAAAAATAATAGTACCCAAGAGGCATTGTCACAAGAAGAAAATACGTTGAAATAAAAAAAAGTGAACCAAAACTGCAAGATCAAGAGGTCGGATATGTTTATATCTCAAGAAGATTTTTGTTACGGTGAATTCGGGTTAAATATATGAATACACCAGTGAAATAAAGCCATTGCTCCAATCAAAGATTACAGTTTTTGTGGACAGACAAATAGATAAACAGACAAACAAACGTATACGTAAAGCAGACGGACAAAAGGACAAAAGGATTACCTATTCTTCGATTACGGGGGCATAAAAAATTGGTTTTGTTTTTGATCGCCCTTTCTTTACCGGTCTTTGTACTATTTCCGAAAAAGGTCAACTCCGTACAAAGAGGAACGGATATAATTGAAAAGAAAAAGGAATCAGAGCGAATTTCCAATAATTAATGACAACAGCGAGCTAGTCTCACCCATCTCTACTGATTATTCTAGTTAACTCGATAGACCCAGCATTCAAAATTGATCTGCTTCCATTGTCTGGTGTTATGGAGGTGTTATATTATTACAACGAAATTTTACAGGGATGTATTGATTCCGGTTACTGTGTAGATATGGTGATGACCAGAAAAAGAGCTGTATTATGATTTCTAATAAAGGACTCATTATTTCTTTTATTACTACATTTCATTAGTACATTCACGTATTTATGAAAGCAAATTAATTTGGGTTCCACTATGCTTAATAGTTTATCCAAATTAATTTAATTAATAATTTATCTAAATCGTATCCTTTAACAGAAAATCAAAAAGGTTACTTAATTTAAGAAGAAAAAATTGCATGTTACGTCTTTATTTCAGTCCTATATCCTCAATGATGAACAAACTTTATTCTCATGGTTTTCTTTTCTATACTCTTTGGTTTTTCTTGTGAAAGTTATCGATAACAAGCCAGGTATGTTTTTGCATTGCTTTGCCAAGTTAGAGCATGAAAGACACTCTAGAACTCCTAAGGGAAATCAAACATATTATGTAACCAGTGTAAAACAATAAAAATCATTTTTCATAGTCTATGTGTCTGAATTTTTACATAACACTCAATTAAATGAATAGTACATTACTATTTGGGATGAAATTAGACATTACGCTGCAGACAGAAACGTACACAAACATTCCTTTGAGTATAATATTTAGAAGATGTCACATTCTGATCAGCTGTTACATATCCAATCAATAATTTATTTCAAGTACTTTACCTCATACGGCAGTGAAAAATATCACAGTTTCGAGTTTTTCTAAATGGCTATACATATACTAAATTTTACAGTATCGACAAAAACTTTATCTTATTATTCCGTGACAGGTGTCACAGTGCCGTGGCATTTCTCACATATTATATACTTAGTACATGTTTAAAATCATTTTGACGATTTTTGGAGATCATGTACATTCCATTTTAAGAAGTGAATCGAAATTTTCTTTAAATGGACCATAGATTGGCATTACTTTATGTCCTACCAGTGTAGACTCTACATAAGTAGCAGTAAAAATTTGCATATTTATATATAGATTTAGATATGGATATATAGATATCTAATTGACCTCTAATTGGGGACAATTAAAAGGTAATAGAGATTGTGTTAAACATCATGTTCTTAGAGTGTTCATATTGGAACTTGTCAAAAGTTACATAAACTATTACACTTGCAAATACCCTTAAAATATTTAAAGAATTTAAAAGAAATGGTTTAAATTGGAAGAAAATTCGTCTACAAAGTTTTGATTATTTTATTCAACTGACAGACATATTAGTCGTTAATTTTGAAACAACATGTGGTAACAAAGTATTATAGTAAATCACTTCGGCAGGAGTTTATTTTTTGCATAATAACAGGCAGTCTAGTTTCAAATTCATTCTCGCAAATATTTATTAATAAAGATGAAATGAAAACAATAACCTGTTAAAAATCGTGACAAAATGTTGCTCTTATGCATGTTAATTTCTAAGACCTGTATCGCCCCAAAAACCAAGATGTGTTTGTGAAACAATGATGCCCCCGTATGGCAGCTATTGGCGAATGTTGAAGTCTCTCAAATGCAAGTCTAACTCCTCCAAGTTCAAGGTCAAAATTGTTGGTATCTAGAGGAAGGTATACACCTGTGAAATATGAAAGCCCTAGTACTAAATGTTCAAAAGTAATGGCTAAGGTTAAAGATTTTTACTAAGTGATCCAAACGCCAAGGTGAGAGTTAAAAGGTCAAATATATTTATACTAACTGAAAGGCCTTGTCAAATTGAATACACTTGTGAAGTAAAAAAGACCAAGCACCAGCTGTTCAAATGTTATGACCAAGTTTATGTTTGGTATTTTTTATAAATGTACGTCATCAAACTCCAAGAGCAAGAGGAGGTCAAATTTGGTGGTACTCAAAGAAAGGTCTTTTCACAAAAAATACACCTATGAAAGTCGTAGCCTTTCTCAGTCAAAAGTTATGGGCAAGATTAATTTTTTTGGGAACAAACAGATTAACTGACAGACAGACGGACAGGGCAAAAACTATATAGCCCCGAATCTTTGATGGTAGAAGATGTCAAAATTTTCTTTTAGAGATTTGTTTTTAAATATTTTTTTTTCGGTTTCGTAAATATTGCTCAAATACATATTCCTTGATTTTTCCTTGAGCATAAATATTGATATTTTACATGTTAATAAATATATACATAAGACAATAAATGATTTCTCTTGAAAGATTGAGCCACGGAAATGGGAAGGTGTTTGTATTGCCTCAGAATGAATTTTTTAAGCGAGTTCCATTAAAGAACATAATGTATCGAGGGCAGCCCCTTGAGAGGACTCAGGCGTTATCAATTTTCAACCTTTTTCGCTTATTATGCCTCTAAACTATATATCTTAGTATCTTTCATTTGGCTGTCTGACTCAAAAAATGTCTAAGCTAAAACACATCTGAGATCACCTTATAAGCTTCCTTGAAATCGATAGATTGATATGCTATAGAGTCAAATATGAATCTTTTGCATACATAAATCAATTGAAATAAAAGCCTCAATATGATGTTTAACCGATCCTTACCAGTATTTAATGTACATTAGTTGACTTTTCAGACTAAACATCCTTTTAATATTTTGTTACCCTTACAATTTCTTGCGATGAAAGTATTTTCAAAAGAATTTCTGCACTTAAGCTATATATTTTGTAAAAAGACATACAGTCATTCATATAAGTTTATTCAACATATAATTATACATCATATGATTGTCATATAAAACTGACATGCTGATGATGTTTATAATAATATACAAGAACGCGATAACGATCCTATAGGCTACGTTCATCTACCTTGTTACAGGTAAAAAACATCATATAGAGTTTCGCTACTTGATCCCAGTATGTGATAGTAAAGATTTCCTATGCTACACACAAACAAGATTATCAGATACATCAATGAGGCAGTTTCCCAAATCGTGTAACATCGTATTAAACGCACTCAGTCATGAAAAAAGTCAAGTTCATTTAGTTTCCTCTCGAGGTTTTATGGTAACAGACAAACATTACCATAAGATATATTAGAGATCTCATTCTGCTGAAGACGATGTAAGTAAATATATTTCACCTTTTTTGCTTCAGCAAATTAAAAATAGAGTTTATATGCTGGAAAATACACTTTATATCTGTGCTGATAGTACATTAAAACACTTACTTTTACTATCTGTTATATTCCTCTAATATTTGTGGTTCATTGCATCCAACGAGTGAAATATTTTGTTGGTACAAAAACTTCTCAAATTTCCAAGAAACTGAGCACCGCAAAATTCTAAGAAGAATGGTCTAACACTTACCTTGACAAAGGTAATCTGTCACTAGTTTTCCGTGCGTCATTACATATAGAGTTCTTCAGCAGCTGTCGTACTCAATCGATGCCGCTATTATACAAATTTTATTACAGTTCTACCAGTTGTCAAAGCTGTGTCTAGAGTCGATAGTACTGTAACAACTTAACATTGAGTCACTTTCAGCATCTTTTTTTTATTCATGGTCCTTTCTGATGATAGGTGGTTTTTCCTTGTGGTCTTTAGTTGTTGTATATTTTACTGGGAGAATTGTGTGGAAGCTTTCATCTCAATCACTCTTTTAAAGGGGGATTGGCAAGTCGTGATGGTTTGATCCATCAAGAACACTTGAAAGCCGAAAAAAAATATTTCCTCCTCGGCAATAAAAATTACATAATGTTTCTAAACCCACATCAGGAAATAATTGATGATTTGAAAGCATCTGTTCAAAACTGACTTTCAAGGATTTAAAGAAAATGATTAGAAATGTAAAATAAAAGGTGTAAATTAATTGCAAATTTTAAGAAAATATGGATGTTAGGCCGTAACCTAAAATGTGTATGAAACTTAATTTCCCCGTAGAGACCCACATAAACCTTACTGGGTCCTGACACCGAATGTGGACTATTGATTTTGAATTAAAGTTCCTGCAAAATGAAAGAGTGAATTAAATGTGTTTTGAGACATAAATCCTGCTCCAACAGAGGAAGGAAGTACAATACATCCAATGAGCACTCGTCATTTTGTCTTTTTATCCAAATTATCTTACAGGATTGGGTGTAAAATTGGTAGGCTTATACTTGGAATCATGAAGTTTTCTAACTGATTAAAGTTGTTTTGTTAAATGAAAACCGTGAAATAGTTATTTCTAAAGAAGTAAGTATACGTGTATAACTGATGTACACATCTTTTCTTTTTATTAAAATATTTTTTCAATACCATCAAGCAATTTAAAAAAAAAAATAATAATAATAATTAAACAATCCTCTTAGATAGAATACCATGATTGTTGCAGCAGTTCTTTATTGAATTAAAAAAGACCCTATGGTATATTTCTTTCACATCTGTGGTAAAGGTAATCTTTTTTAAAAGAGTTAGAAATGCTTAATGTTGCTTTTAAGTTTTCACAAAAAGAAAGAATTCACACTTTGTTCATCAATAATGCAGTGGTTTTCACAACCGAGTCTGTATATTATAAAGCCATTATGGCATTTGAAGCATTGATTTGTTTTTTTTCACTGTGGCAAATTGCAGACTATACACATGATTACCAATGTAGATTTATTTTTATCTGGAAATGTCATTTTCGTGTCCCGTGCCTGCAGCACTGAACTGCATGAGCAAAAATGCGAAAACTGTAAAAGGCAGTCATAAAATTCTACAACGCACTTCCAAGTGAAATGGAAGAACACGTATCATTTCAAGATGTCATTTTTAAACACTGTCTTTCTTTTACATGCAGAGATATGTCCTTATATTTAAAATGTTTCCAAGCAAGTTAAACTATTAAAGACCAGTTGAATGAATATGTGACTTTTTCAAAGGTATAATTATGCATTGTTTAACATCAAAATCAGCTTACAATATTTTACCATGAAGAAGTTAGGGCTTAAACAGGAATTGGAATTCTACTTTCTTTCTGTCAGTGATTCAGAAAGTTAACTAAATATTTGATGTTAAGATCGTATAAACTTAAGTAATCATCATAAGCAATTTGGCCAGGTTTAAGTTTTACATCACTGTTACAAAGTTAAAGAAAAGCGAGTGTAAAAATTCTTTTATAGTTAGTCAGTTTAATCTCTGTTAGATTGACTTCATCAGTACTCCGACTTCATCAGTACTCCGAAATCGATATTAAAAAGATGCCTGAATTTACTTTGAAAATTACATGTATCTAGAAGAATGTAGTTTTCAACTCTTCACACAATCGGAATTTTAATGCGCACCAAATACAAGTAAGTGTATCCCTGTGTGAGCAGACCTATTCTTTGCGGTCATATGAAGCAGAATTTATTTTTAAAAAAAACATGAAAAGCAGATTTCTCTTTCTGTAGTCTTCAATTCAACAAATAGATATACTGACAACGTTTTATCAATCAACGATATTCACTTTCATTCACTAAGTTAATTCGATATATTCCTTTGAACTCGAGACAAAAGACAGCACAGAGACTGAAAATGGAAAAGGTGAAGACAATGAAGCGTGATCGATCTAAAAAAAAATGCAAACGATAAAAATATGTGAAGAGGGCATTAAACATTGTATGTTTTATATTTTACTAGGAAAAAAAGTTAATTGAAATCAACAAACAAAAACTTCAAATAAACGTGATGACTTCAGCAATAGTTCAGCTAAACCAAGTCAAACTATTGAAAAATACGTTAATGATACAAGGATACCAACATTCACGTATTAAAGCCAACAGTGCGCAAATTTTATCACCGCTATAATGACTTTATTGCCGGTACACTCCATCTATTGTTAAGCTTATCTTACAAATTGGTAGGCCAATACTTTCAGCTATATAGTCAATACAAGGACTCTGTCAGCGAATACGTGTATAGTATATTGTTGTGTCAGATGCTGACTGAAGTTTTTCATTCTAATTGTTTGGCTATCATTTACAGATCAAAATTTTAAAGAATATTTTTCCGTTTACCTGATCAAGACAAGGAGTACTCGATTGACATGACCATTTAGAAGGAAATACTTACTTCTCTTTGGCACCTTATCCCACTTCTAATGTTTTAAGAAGTCCGTGTTTGCTCTGCTCTTAGTTTGACTTGTTCCAAAGAAATCTAATGTTTTTTGTTATCTTTGTATTTCATGCAACAAACTAGGGTCTAATGTAGCCCACGTTGTATACATCAGCTATAAGCCTTTCTTAATTTTAAGCTTATTGCCTGAACAGAATTGCACAGACAGCTACACAGACAGTCAAACCGATGGAGAAATCTTAAACGACCGTGCATATAAAGACAGCCAAACAGATAGAAAAAATATACAGAAAACCTTATACGTGTACCAGGCATATACAGACAGTCTTATAGATAGGAAAATATACAGAAAGCTAAACAGAAAATCTTATACTAGGAATATACAGACAGCCATATAGATAGGAAAATATACAGAAAGCTAAACAGGAAATTTCATACCAGGCATATACAGACAACCAAATAGATTTAGAAGTCTTATATTAGACATATATTGACAGCCACACAGAAAGGAAAATTTACAGAAAGCTTAATAGTAAGAAAATCTTATTCCAGACATATGCAAACGATCAAACAGATAGGAAAATCTTATACCAGGCTTTTACAGACAACCAAACATATCAGAGAGTTTTATATCGGGCATATATAGAGATCCACACAGACAGAAAATATTATTGCAGGCATAACCAGACAGTCAAACTTAGAAAATACAGAGAGCAAAACAGAAACTAAGAAAAATCTTATACCGTGCATTAAAGAAAGCCAACCAGATAGAACAATCTTATACATGGAATATACAGTCAACCAGACAGAAAACCTTAAACGGGTATGTAAACAGACAGACAAACGAATACAAAAATCTTATCCTGGGTATATATAGACAGTTGAATAGAAAGAAAAATATTTTACCTGGCACATTCTTAAAAATATGTTTGCAGAGAGCAATAAATACTCTTAGTAAAAAGAACTAGTATTCAAAAACTGAAATTCAATTATTAATCTATTACTAAGAGACCAAAATACAAACGTCAACTATTTAAAACTACGCTGATACATAGCACACTAATGTTTTACTAAATAAGAAGTTTCTAGCACTTGGTATGTTCGACAAAAGCTTATGTATAAAAAAAACCACATTTTATTTGTTTCTAAAATGAAAAAAGCACAGTATATTGATTAAGCTATGTGTGTAATAAATAAATCAATGTCTATTCATTTGTCTCTTTGTGAATAAAATAGTGATCTAGACCCCATTTTAAAAAAGAACTTAGACGCCCACGTGGAACAGTGGACATATCGTTTGCTGTAGTAGATTCGCCGTGAGGAGTTGATCCCTACGTCGCAGGGTCGATCCCACCGTGAAGACCAAATGAATACTGATGAAACCGTATAAACCGAGGTCACGCAGTGGGTGTTGCCATGAAAAGATTCCTCACTTCTCAATCATTGATGGTCCTGAATGCCAAATATAGGTTTAAATATGCAGCCCTCCACTAACAAGTGGTAGCGTTTCAATATGAGTGAGAAATTCTAGTAAATTAACAACAATAACAACAAACAAGCAAAAGAACTTACTTAAAAACTTGGGAATACGTGTCTCCGTCATATTAATCTAAAAATAAATGGTCTTAAACTTTCTAAAATAATAATAATAATAATAAAAAGAATAATTATGCCAGCGATATTCGACAGAATCATTTGAGGAAGATTTTGTTAAGTTTTGACATGTTTGATCTGAGCCGTTAGTTACACGGGGGAAGCATTCAAAGCGTTGGCTGAAAACACATTTTTAACAATTTACAACTCTTATTTATCAATCCTTCCTAACTGTTTATAAAGTTGTTGCTAATCAATGAGTCTAAAGTGTTAATTAACACTCGACATACTAGTATCACGATCAGGCACAATTATTAACAATAAATATTTATTAGTACCAACAAGTATGTGTGATGAAAATCGATTAGCTATAAATTGTTGTTTAAAAGCTTTATGGATAGAACCCCACACTTAGAAAAAAAATTAAAAGTATTAAAACGGTCTTCGAAAACTGAAGTTTCTTTGCCTTTCAAAAATATTTTATAGCAAAAATAAAGACTTTAAATGAGACATAAAGATAAACAGTATTAAAAAGTTCATAAAACAATATAAAATATGAGTAATTTCTTGGATAAAAAAGTTAGAAATAATTTAATAATGTCTCAAAGAAAACACGGACCTCCAAAACATCAGAGGTGGGATTAGATGCCATGGAGGAATGAGCATTCCCTGATGACAGGTCACACCCGCCGTTTGCTCCTTGTCAAGATCGGGAAATAACGGAAATATCCGTCGTCAATTCAGTTTATAAGTAATGAACTAACAATTAGAATGAAAAATGTCAGTCAGTATTTGACACAATGATAAAATGTATTTGCTGACAAGGTCATTGTATCAACTATAGATCTTATAGAACTTACGAAATGATGACTATAAACGAGGCTGTTGATATTCTTGTTTCATCAAGTTGCTTGTCAATATTATCCTCTTTTTCGAGGTTGTTCATACGTAGAACGTGCTCTTGCGTATCGAATCAACTGAGATAGATAAACTC